CCATGATGATGGTGATGGTGATGGTGATGATGGTAATGATGATAAGAAGATGATGCTGGCAATGATGATGATAATGATGATGCTGATTCGTACTATTATGATTATCCTGCTTATCTCGATGAGGTTGATGCTGACGATGGTGATGATGACGATGATGACGATGATGCAGATGATGATGCTGATGATGATGCTGATGATGATGGTGATGATGCTGCTGCTGCTGATGATGATGATGATGATGATGAGTGACGACGACAGTGATGCTGACGATGATGTTGTTGATGCATTTGTTGATGATGATGATAATGATGATGGTGATGATGATGACCATGATGATGGTGGTGGTGGTGGTGGTGTTGAGGGGAACGTGCAAATTTGTTGCTTCGAGCTATCCCTACCGAAACCTTCGGCGTTTGATACTGAAGGTGCGCGCGCTCGTTGAAACGATGTTCGCGGGTCTCGGTGGTCTCGGCCAGTGTTATGCAATGTTGTGCCCTGCTTTGTCGTGTTATGTTATGTATGCTGCAATCTGTCATAGCGTATGTTAATATGCTGTGTAGCGCTATGACATGTTATATCATGTCATGTGATGATGTGACGTGTTCTGTTTTGTTACGTTCAGTTCTGCGTTCATTTGCTATGGTATCAGTGAGCTGTCATGCTATGGCATGATATGTGTTGTGATGCGATGCTATTCGATGCAATGGTCTTTCATAGTGTGTAATGTCACGGTGTGGTCTGTCATGCTATGGTATGTTATGCTAGGATATGTTCTGTTCGGTGGTGTGGTGTTATGCTCTGTTCTGTGCGGGACCTGGGGATCTGGCGGCCGCGGTATGTAGAGTGGGCGAGTCGGCGCGGGGGGCGGGACCACCAGGGTTTATCGGGAGCCTGGGGATCTGGCGGCCGCAGTATGCAGGGAGGGGGGGGGGGCGGGACCACCAGGGATCATCGGGAGCCTGGGGATCTAGCGGCCGCGGTATGCAGGGCGGTATGTAGGGCGCCTCGCTCCTCCTCGATCCTTGATCCTCGACCCTCGAAGCTCGCTCCTCCTCGGTCCTCTATCCTCCTCGCTGCTCGTTCCCTGGCCCTGGCAGGTGCCCTCCTCGCTCCTCGTCTTCGTCGCTCCTCATCCTCCGTGCTCCTCGTCCTCGATCCTCGGCCACATCCGCCTCGACCCCGACCGACCCGTCTAAGAGTCTGGTCAAGGCCGGCTCCAGATCCATCCAGGAGTCCATCCTGGCCAGTGTCTCGTTCAGGATCGATCTCTGAGGCCAGCTTCTCGTCCCAGATCGACTTCTCGCAGCCCAGGGGCCCGGAACCGCAGGAATGGGCTCCCAGACGGCAAGAAGGGTGGAACTTTCCTCTGAGCCTCTTTGGTCCCCTGTCCTCGGTCATCTTCCTCCGAGCAGGCTTCCCGAGTCTGTTCTGTGACGGGCCCCCTTGGGCGCAGCGAGGGCCCCAGGGGGCCAGGGACGAGGAAGCGCCCTCCGCCATCGCGATCTCTTGGAGGCGACGGGAGGCCTGGTCAGGGCCTGCGTCAGGGGAGGGACAGGCTCAGGGGGGGGCGCTCCGACCTCCGGTCGCCCCGTCATCGCCGATACATGCAAGTTGCTAAAATAAGGACCGCTTTGGTCTCAGGAGGGACTCGGGTTTTTGGGCCGCTCCTTCGATATGTCGTGGGACCTGTTTGTGGCCTAGGCCCGCCGTGGCCAGATAAGGCCCTTTCGTTCCTTCTCATGTGTTCCTCATGCTGGCACGCTGGCTGTACAAGCTCCGGACAGCCCACCCCGCCCAGGAACGTTCGGATTTGCGATCGGGGGCCAGCCCCCCCCTGAGCTGCTCCCCCGCTCGCACGCGTCCACCACATGATCGTCGGCGGCGCAAGCGTCAACACCACAAGGCCAGACCCCATCTGCACGAGCCCCGCAGCACGAAACGCGACAACAAGTCCACGAGCAGTTCGAGATCCGCCCGCACGCCTCCGCCACGTGACCGTCGTCGACACAGCCATCAAAACCACGAGACCAGACTCAGGCAGGGATCGGCAGCGAGCTCAGGGGGGTAGGAGTCAGAGGGTCGGGCGTTGTCGTCGGCCCGCCCTCCTTGTGGCACCGTCCCTGTGAGCTCTGGAGGCGCAGCAGGCGCTCGATGGTCGGCCCCGTCGTTAGGGAGGAGCTCGAGCTTGCAAGTGAGGAAGACCTCGGCGGCGAGCCCAAGGGAGGTGAGAGACGGCAGGCCTTCTACGGAGGGCGGCGGGGCTCCGCCGAAGCCCTCGCGCCTTCTGGGAAGCCGCCTGTGGCTCTGCGGGCGTCCAGCAATGGGGGTGAGATGGATGGGGGGGGTGAGGAAAGGTATCTTTTTGTGCCTTCAAGGGGCCCCGGAGGGGCCCCCAGGGGCCCAAGAGGGGCACGGAAGGTGTTCGTTTCTCCCCCCCCATTTATCGCCCCCCCATTGTCGAGCTGGTAGAGACGGGGGCCAATGCAGACGGGGGTCAGCCAGAGCGCTGGATCTTGCAGGATGCGGCAAAGCCGGGATTGCATTGATCGGCTAGACGTAAGAGTGATCTTTCGCCGCAGTGACTTTTGGTGCGGGCCAAATGGGGTCCCCCGATCGCCGAACGCGAGGCGGCAGTGGCGTCTTTCGCGCTTGTGTTTGGCCCCCCCGCGACTCCCAAAAAGCCGCGCACCAAAGGTCACTCTTACCCATGGCCAATCCTGCATGTGGTCGAATTGACCTCCAGGATCCTACAAAGCCCGGTTGACCTGGGTTTGGATTGACCCGGAGGAGTCTTTGGAGCACGGCCGAGGTGTTCGGGCCGTTCCTCACGCTCAGGCCGAGGCACCTGCCTGTGGCCCAGGCCCGCCGTGGCCGTGGCCTCGTGGTGCGCTTCCTGTGGCAGCGCGCGGACTGCACCCTGAGCTCCAGCCGCGGTGGAGCCAGGGGCTCGCCGCCGAAGGGAGGCCCGGGAGCACGGCCGCGCGCGGCGCGGCCAGCCAGCAGGCGCCCGCGCCGCTGCCCGCGCCGCCGTGCCCCTCGCCCGCCGCGCCGCTGCCTGCGGCGGCGGCCGCCGCGCCGCCCGCGCCGCTGCTGGCCGCGCTCCTGGCACAGGCCGCGCCCGCCGCCGCCGCTCGGGGGAGATATACACGCAAACACACAAACACACAAACACACAAACATACAAACACACAAACACACAAACACACAAACACACAAACACACAAACACACAATCACACAATCACACAAACACACAAACACACAAACACACAAACACACAAACATACAAACACGCAAGCACGCAAACACACAAACACGCAAACACGCAAACACGCAAACACGCACACGCGCACGCGCGCACGCGCGCACGCGCGCACGCGCGCACGCGCGCACGCGCGCACGCGCGCACGCGCGCACGCGCGCACGCGCGCACGCGCACACGCGCACACGCGCGCACGCGCACACGCGCACACGCGCACACGCGCACACGCGCACACGCGCACACACGCGCGCGCACGCGCGCACGCGCGCACGCGCGCGCACCCGCGCACGCGCGCACACGCGCGCACACGCGCGCACACGCGCGCACACGCGCGCACACGCGCGCACACGCGCGCACACGCGCGCACACACGCGCGCACACGCGCACACACGCGCGCACACGCGCACACACGCGCGCACACGCGCGCACACGCGCACACACGCGCACACACGCGCACACACGCGCACACAGACGCACACACGCGCACACAGACGCACACAGACGCACACAGACGCACACAGACGCGCACAGACGCACACAGACGCACACAGACGCACACAGACGCACACAGAGACGCGCACACAGACGCACACAGAGACGCACACACAGACACACACACAGACACACACACAGACACACACACACACACACACACACAGACACACACACACAGACACACACAGACACACACAGAGACACACACACACACAGACACACACACAGACACACACACAGACACACACACAGACACACACACAGACACACACACAGACACACACACACACAGACACACACACAGACACACACACAGACACACACACACAGACACACACACAGACACACACACAGACACACACACACAGACACACCCACACAGACACACCCACACAGACACACACACAGGCACACACAGACACACACACAGACACAGACACACACAGACACACACAGACACACACAGACACACACACAGACACACAGACACACACACAGAGACACACACACGCAGAGACACACACAGAGACACACACACACAGAGACACACACACAGAGACACACACACAGACACACACACACAGAGACACACACACACAGAGACACACACAGATACCCACACAGAGACACACACAGAGACACACACAGGGACACACAGAGACACACACAGAGACACACACAGAGACACACACAGAGACACACACACAGAGACACACACACAGACACACACAGAGACACACACACAGAGACACACACAGAGACACACACAGACACACACAGAGACACACACAGAGACACACACAGAGACACACACACACAGAGACACACACAGAGACACACACAGAGACACACACAGAGACACACACACACACAGAGACACACACAGAGACACACACAGAGACACACACAGAGACACACACAGAGACACACACACAGAGACACTCACAGAGACACACAGAGACACGCAGAGACACACACAGAGACACAGACAGAGACACAGACAGAGACACAGACAGAGACACAGACAGAGACACAGACAGAGACACAGACACAGACACAGACACAGACACAGACACAGACACAGACACAGACACAGACACAGACACATCCGTAGCCATTTTGGCTCAAGGCCATGGAGCACCCGACGACCGCGAGTCGTCCGCGGCGCTCTGAGCGCGAGGGGCTCTTCGCTTTGGGCCAGCTCAGAAGTGATTGTTCTTCGTGCCGACAGCGCGGGCCGCGAGGCCGCAGTTTTGGGCCGCGAGGCCATGCGCCGGGATCAGCCTTGCCATGGTGGCCTACGGGCAGGCAGCTGGGGGCCGCTCCTGGGCCAGCGCCGCGGCGGGCGGCAAGGCCAAGGGCAGCTGGAGCTACTGGGTCTGCGCCAGCGGCGTGTGCAGGGAGTGGTGCTGGTGCTCGCTCTGGAAGTGCCGCGGCTGCGACCGTGTGGCCCCGCCGTGGGTCAAGGCAGCCCAGCCGCCCGCGGCTGCCGCCGGCCAGGAGCCGCCCGTCGCCGACGCCGAGGGCTTCGTCGTCCAGCCCCGTGGGAGGAAGGCGAGGCGCCAGGCCGAGCGCACGGCTGCCCGCGCGGCAAGCGCTGGGGCCGCCAGCCAGGCAGGAGTCAGCGAGGCCAGCAGCGGGCAGCAGCAGTCGGCCGTCGAGCAGCACCGCCTGGAGGTCAAGCGCATCGAGGACTTCCTCGCGGCCCCTGGCGGGTCCATCCACGAGGGGTGCCTGCAGTCGCTGCGCGCGGCCCTCGACCGAGAGCGGCGCAGGCTCTCGGCTGCCGAGGCGGCGCAGGCGGAGCGTAGGAAGGCCGACGCCCCCCTGCCCAAGGCGCTCCACGGGACTGGCAACGCCCTGGGGAAGTTGGTCAGGCAGGGGCGGGCCAAGGAGCAGGCGCTGCTCAAAGCTGAGGAGGCCCACGCGGCAGCCATCGGAGAGCGTGAGGCGGCCATCGCGCGCGAGGCCGCATGTGCAGAGGCGGTCGAGGAGTGCCGCGCTGCTCTCGAGGCTCACCGCGAGGAGCAGAGGGCCGCAGAGGCCAGACAGGCCAATGAGGTCGGCGCGGCCTTCGTCGGCACGGACCTGCTCGGGATGGTCCACGGCCTCATCCAGCAGGTCGAGGCCTTGCCCCAGGGCTTCGCCGCGGGCAATGGGGGGGCCGCCTTCGCGGAGGTCGCCAAGCAGATTGCTGCGGTCCGCAGGCATGCGCCCCCCGAGGCCAGGGGGCGCTCATCCTGGGCCGACACCCCCCTCGACGTCTCGGACGAGGACCTCGACGGAGATGATGAGGAGCGGGCGCGGGCGTCTTCGGCCCCCCCTCTGCAGGGCGCGGCCGAGCGCGGCCAAGCAGCGCGCCGGGGAGAGGCGCGCGGAGCGTGGCCCTCAGCCCAGCCACTGGCTAGGGACCTGGCCAACGCTGGGGCAGCCCTCCTCGACGACCAGCCGCTGGCTACTGCTGCTGGTGGCCATGTTGCTGTGGGTCGGCGTCGGGTTTGACGTCGACTCGGCAGGCCAGTGGTCGGTTGACAGCAGAAGGGTCAGACGGCGCCTGAGCGAGCAGGTGCCAGTGGTGTGGGGAGCCCAATGCCGTCCCCAGGGCCTGGGCGAACCCGCGAGTGCGGCACCTGGCCGAGGGGGGGCGATGAGGGCCGCCGACGGGCGGGCGGCCGTTGCCCCTCACCCCCCCGCGCGCCCCGTCGAGGCCGCTGACGAGCGGGTGGCCGAGTCCCTTGACGGGCGCAGCGAAGCCAAGGTGCCAAGTGACAAGAGGACGAGGATGGCGTCGCAGGAGGCCCGCACTGGCAAGGCTCGCCTCGGGCCACAGCCAGCCCCTGAGTCTGACCCTCGAGGACCTTGCCCCCTGCGCGCTGGCCTGGAGGTCCTGGGCTGCAGCGGTAACGTCTGGAACAGGAGCGTCGAGGTCCTCGAGGCCTTCTTCCACGCCCACCAGTACTGGCCGCAGCTGGTCCTCCATCAGGAGACGCGGCTAACCCAGGAACGGCTCCCTGGGGCCAGGGCGCTGGCACGCCGCCTCGGCTACGCCGCTTTCTTCCATGAGGCGGTGGCGACGGGCCAGCCTGGCCCGAACGCCACGTCGGGCGGCGTCGCGATCCTGGTGAGGGCTGGACTCCAGGCCGAGGAGTCAGCATGCCAGCTCCCTGCGGCCCTGCGCCACCGCCTCGTCGGCGTCGGGGTGACGGCGCCGTCGGGTCTCCGTCTCCTGGCCTTGGCTGGGTACTTCCAGCACTCCTTGGGCCCGCGGGGGATCAACCTCGACTCCTTCTCCTCGGTCTCTGACCTCGCGGCATTCTCGTTCGACTTGCCCTGGGTCCTCCAGGCGGATTTCAACGTGGAGCCCGAGCCCCTGCAGGAGCTGGGCTGGCCTGCAGCGGTTCGCGGCCAGGTGCTCGGACCCTCTGAAGCGACCTGCGTTGCCCAGGGCCTGGAGCACGTCTACGACTGGTTTGTCGCCTCGTCCGACCTGGCCACGTGCACGGTGTCCTGCGCGACCGCGCTCAACGACTTCGGGCTGCGCCCGCGCTCTCCAGTGCTGCTGCGCCTCCAGGACGTCAGGTGCGATACCCTGGTCGAGGTGCCCTCCCGTCCTGCTCGGTTCCCAGAGGTGGAGGTCAAGGGCGTGTGCTCCCGCGAGGACGCCGTGGTCCAGGCCTTCACTGTCGGCAAGCGCGGGAAGGTGTCGCAGAAGGATGTAGCTTGGTCGTGGGCTCAAGGTTCGTGCCCGACCAGCCTCTCTGCTGCTTTCGGCGAGTGGATCGAGGCGGCGGAGGGTACCCTCACGGGCATCCACGAGATTGCGCCAGGCGACCTGCCACGCTACCCTGGGCGAGCGGCAGGGCCCAAGACCAGGCGCATGCCCTTCAGCGCGCTGGTGCAGCGTGAGGCTAGGCTGAAGTACAGCTTGCTGACCCACCGCCTGAGGAGCTGCCTGGCGGTCGCCCTCCAGAGGCTTCGCGCAGAGCAGGCCAGCAGGTGGCACCCGGCCCACTCCTGGTGGTATGAGCAGCAGGCTGCGGTGAGGGCGAAGCTCCTGGACGAGGCGACCCAGGAGGAGGCTTGCCTTCGGAGCGCGCCCCTCCTCGGGGCGTCCGACGTGAAGTGGGGGGACCTCGCCTTCCACGCGGGGGTGAAGGGCTGCCCCACGGCGATCGCCAAGCTACAGTCGTGGCTCCTGGCGTCCCAGAGGCGCGATGCCGCAGAAGGAGCTGCCGCTTGGCGCAGTTGGGCCCAGACGGCGGTGGAGAAAGGAGGCCGCCTGGCCCACCGCTTCTCCAAGGCGGCTCCCACGCCTGTAGTCAGGGACGCCGACACAGGGAGGCCCCTCGTCGGCATGGACGCCGTTGACCAGCTCACGCGTACGTGGCGGCGGCTCTGGCTTCAGGGAGGCTTCTCCAGCGGAGTCGGAGCCCACCAGTGGGATGTTGGATCCTGGACGCTGCCGCCCATCACCCTGAAGGCATTGCAGCAGGCATGCAAGCGCTACGGCCCGTCTGTGGGGCTGGGCTGCGACAACCTGCACCCTCGCCAGCTTCTCCTGCTGCCAGTGGCGCTGCAGCTTCGCCTGATCGACATCCTCACGGCGTTCGAGGACGAGCCTTCCTCGATCAGGGGACAGGTGACGCTCATGGTGTCTAGTCCTAAAGCCGGCGGATGGACCAGGCCCATCGCGCTGCTCCCGCTGGCCTTGCGGTTCTGGTCTCGCCTGAGGCAGCCGTGCTGTGCCCGATGGGAGTCAGACCACAGTTCCCCCTTCTTCTGGGGCCGCGATGGCCGTGATTGCGAAAGAGCGGGTTGGATCCACAACTGCTTCGCGGGCTTCGCGATGGCCTCCCCGCACTTCGAGGTGGCCAGCCTGTTCCTGGACATCCGCAAGTTCTACGAGCACGTGCGCCGCGACGTCCTCTGGACGTCAGCCCAGCGCTTCGGCTTCAACCTGAAGCTGCTGCGCGGCCTCCTCGCCATCTACCAGGCCCCGCGGATCGTGCTGGCAGGTGGCATGGCTTCGGCCCCCTTTGGGGCCAGTGGCGCAGTGCTGGCGGGCTGCGCGTGTGCGACGGCTGTTGCGAAGCTTCCCCTTCTTGGAGGCCTCCTCGCTGCTGGGGCTCATCGGCCTCTTGCCACCCTGCGCAATTTGGTGGACGACGTCTCGCTCCAAGCTGTCGGCTCGGCGAGGCTGGTCGTGGACCAGCTCGCGGGGGCCAGCGGGGAGGTGCTGCGACACCTGCGGGCCCACCACCTCCCGCTCAACGAGGGCAAGTCGGGTTTCCTGGCCTCGTCTGCACAGGTTGCGGACGGCCTCGTCGCCAGCTGGGCCGCCCTCGGCTTCGAGGTCAAGCGTGGCTCCCAGGCCCGCAACCTGGGCACCGACGCCAACGTGACCCGCAGAGGGGTCCATGAGGGAGGTGCCCGCGCTGTGGGAGGCCTTTCCCGCGCCAGGCGGCTGAGAACCCTGGGCTCGGCGGGGGCCGCGGTGGTGCACATTCACCGCGCTGGCCCTGCCGCCGCCGCGCTGTGGGGCAGGGCGGTCACTGGGGTGCCCGACGGCGAGCTTCACTCCTGGCGCCTGGCGGCTGCGCGCTCGGCAGGGAAGCTTCCCAATGGCGCCTCCCTTGGGCGGAGGCTCAGGGCGATCGAGGTGCAGCGCTCAACCGACCTGGGCCCGAGCCCAGCCCTGGTGCGTGCCGCTGTGCAGGTGGCAGCCAGCCTCCTTCAGACGGGCGAGGTGCCCCTGAGGATGTTCGCGACCTCCCTGGAGGAGGCCGAGCGCAGGCACGGCGGCGCCAGGGTGCCCTGGGTGAACTGCAAGAACCCAGTCGACGCCCTGGCCCTCTCCCTGTTGCGGGTTGGGTGGCGCCTCTCGGCTGGGCACTTCCTCCACACCGATGACGGCCACACTTTGGACATGCTGATCATGGGCCCCCGCGAGCTCGGGCTGCTGGCGGCGGCAGGTGCACGCAGGGCCTCCGACCGAGCTGAGATGACGCGGCTTGGGCATGGAGCCGCCCCCTCCATGCCCTTGTTTCGGGACGCGCTAGGCCAGGTCATCGGGCCGCGCGGCAGGTTCAGCAGCAGGGAGAAGGCCGCGGTGGTGAGCTACGTGTCCAACGCCCACTGGCCCCAGACTCGCCTCTTCGCGGCTGGTGAGCGGGGCCGCCCTCGATGCTGCGCCTGCGGCGAAGTGCGTGGCAGCCTCTGGCACAGGCTCTTCGAGTGCCAAGCCCTGGCCGCTGAGAGGAGGGACTCGGTGCCAGCCCGCCTCCACCGCTGCGCCACTAGAGTGAGGCAGCGAGGTGAGGAAGCGGGGGGGTGCTTCTCCAGGTGCTGGCTGCCGCAGCCCCCGCAGACGGCCTGGAGGTCGGACGCTATGGCAGTCATGTGGGTGAACAGGCCTGCCGACGGGCTGCTAGGCGGCCGCCTCTTCCTCGACGGCTCGGCGCTCGACCCTGGGTTCGAGAGCATTCGCAGGGCTGGCTGGAGTATCGTGCAGTGCGACGAGTTCGGCAACTTGGAGGCGGCTGTGTACGGCACGGCCCGCCTTTGCCTGCGCCCCTTCCAGACGGCGAAGGACGGCGAGGACTTCGCGGTCTGGATGCTGAGCCGCTACCTCGGGCCCTCGATCATCGATCGGCATCCCCCCAACATACTTATACTATGTGTTCGTCGCCCCCCCAGGGGCGACGCGCGCACCGAGAAATCTTGTAGTATGTGCGTCGTGGCGGGCGCTTTCTGGCCACACCGCTCGAGAAACGATATACTACAAGATGGGTGTACTATATGTTCGGGTCGGACGCGCGCCTCCAAGGCGGACATATAGTATTAGTCTGTCTCTGTGCGTCCCAATCGAGATCAACATCGACTGCGCGTCCACCGTCAGCTGCTTGAAGCTTGGCAGGAAGTATGCGACGGCTGCCAACAAGCCCAATGCACACCTGTGGTCGGCCGTCTACGCCTCGCTGGACGTCGACTCGCTCATTGTGAACAAGGTAGCGGCCCACTGCACCGAGATCGATGTTCGCGAGGGCAGGATCTCGGAGTTTCAGTTGCTTGGGAACGGCCACGCCGACAGGTTGGCGAAGGCGGGGGCGGCCCTCCACAGGGTCAGCGCGGCGGCCAGACGGGAGTTCTTCGGCGCGATGGAGGTCGCGAGAGAGCTCTCCAGGTGGATCGCGCAGGCCTCGATCGTCTGGCAGGACAGGGGCTCCAAGGACTGCGAGGGCCTTCCTGAGGGCGACGAGCGGAGGACTGCTGTCACCTTCGCGGTCCCGCTGGAGGAGTGTGCTGGCGGCCCGCGGGCGGCTCCCGCGAACGGATTGGGCGCCCCGTTCGCCGCCGTGGGGGCCCGTGGGGAACAGGCTGGCGGCCGCCCCGCCGCTGTCGGCGCCTGGGCTTCAGCAGCGCGCGACGGAGGAGTAGCGCTGGGCGCCCTGGTCTTCGCCGTCGCGGGGCACGCCCTCGCGTGCGCCAGGTGCGGTGAGGACGGCGACCAGCAGGATATCATTGCGTGCACCAGGTGCGGAGCGTATGCGAGGCTTGGCGCACGCCCTGGCCCGCAGCCCAAGCTCAGGGAGCGCTGTCCTGGCTCAACGGGCCTCCCCAGGTCGCTGCGGGGCCAGAAGTCGCGGTGGGAGCGTGGCCTCCACCCTGGGGATACGCCACACGCCCGCGACGCGCGGAGGAAGGGGGCGGAGGCCCCCCGCCTTCGCAAGGAGGCTGAGGTGCCGCTGGACGCCAGGGTGCGCTTCCTGAGGTGGATCGGAGTCCAGCCTGATGCCCCAGCAGGAGTCGAGGGCAGCGCCTCGGCGGCAGATGCTGCTCGGGGCGGCGCTGGCGCTGCGGCCTCCTCCTCGTCAGAGCTGCCCGCTGGGGCTGGCGTCGCCGCGGCAGGAGCGGGATCGCGGCAGGCCTGGCTGGATGCTTACGGCCTCGACGAGGAGAGCCTGCTGAGCAGGGCTGAGGAGGCCGACGAGGCCCGTCGTGAGCGCCAGAGCAGGAAGAGGCGCAGAGACGACCGTGATGGAGGATATTGAGTCCTCGCTGGCCCCAGCCTTGGGGCGCTCGGGCCGCGTGAACGTGCGCGGGCGAAGCCTTGGGCGCTCCTGGCTGTGGAGCGCCAGCCTGCCTCTCCTCCTGTCCTCCCTCCGCGTCCGTCTCCTGTCTGCCCGTCCCCTTGGACCCCTTGTGGCCGCGGGCCTCGGCGTGCCGCTTGGGGCTGTGCAAGCATGTTTGGGGCGCCGCCCGTCGCGTGTCTGCGCTGCTGCATATATTCCAGCGCTTCGCGCTGATGCACCTCGACGGGGGTATGAGCTGACAGGCCGAGCGGTGCCTCGGGGCCGATGTGCCCTGGTGGCCGCCTTCTGCGGCTCGTCTGGGCTCTCGGGATCCCTTGTGGCCCGCCCCCTGTCTTGGGATGGCCCCTTGTGGCTTTGGCCCCTCAGTGGGGTCTGGGCCCTTTGGGGCTCCCATTTAGCCTTTATAGGCCACGCGTCAACAGACGCAGACACAGACACAGACACAGACACAGACACAGACACAGACACAGACACAGACACACACACAGACACACGCACACAGAGACACACACAGAGACACACACACAGACACACACACAGACACACACAGACACGCACACATACACACAGACACACACACAGACACGCACAGACACACACATACACACATACACACACACAGACACACATACACACATACACACACAGACACACAGACACACACAGACACACACATACACACAGACACACAGACACACACAGACACACACAGACACACAGACACACACAGACACACACATACACACACAGACACACACAGACACACACACACCGACACACACAGGCACACACAGACACACACAGACAGACACACACAC